CTTCAGGGCAGCCATCAGGTGGGAACGATGGTTAATTTTGCTTTTGGCTCCTGGCTCCCTGCGTTCCTTCCTTGCTTCTACAGAAAGACCCAAGTTTATGTCTATTCTTCATGAACAGATATCTTATCAATAGAAGGAATAAAACCATACTACTGCTTACTAAAATAAATAAAACTAAGTGTGTCTTATACTCTTTTGTATTATAACGCTCTTTGTAAATAACCCCTTTCTTCTGACTAGAATTTTTAATTTGTAGATCCATTTATCTCATTTCACCATATTTTATTCTTTGTTTTTCATTACAAGTTGATTGTCAAATTTTTCTGTCTTTCTTCTACTTCCCCTGAAATTTACGGAAGTATCCTCACTTGCTAGAAGCAAATAGCATCTGGCAGCCTGTGTGCATTTTCTGAGGCTGCTGTAACAGACTCTAGGTGCATCTCAGTGAAGGAACACATTTTTTACCTGAGAACAATTCAGATATTGTGAGTTCACCTCCAGACCACCACAGTAAAACAAATAGCTCAATAAATCCAGTCACAAAATTGTTTTGGTTTCCCAGTACATATAAAAGTTATGTTCACACTATACTGTAGTCTACTGATGGGGCAATCACATTATGTTTTAAAAAAAACCCACACACCTTAATTTAAAAACCCTTTATTGCTAAAACATGCTAACAATTACCTGTGCCTTCAGCAAGTCATGACCTTCTGCGAGTGGAGGATCTTGCCTCAGTGTTGGTAGCTGCTGTGGCTGATCAGGGAAGTTGATGGTTGGGGTGGCTGTGGACATTTCTTAGACTAAGACAACAATGAAGTCTTGTTGACTGACTCTTCCTTCCACAAAGATTTCTCTGTGGCATGCAGTGCTGATTGATAGCATTTTCCACACACTAGAAAGTCAGTTTGGAATCCATCTTTTCAAATTCTGCTGCTTCTTTATCAACCAAGTTTAGGTAGTATTCTAGAATCTTTGCTGGTACTTCAGCAATGTTCACAGTGTCTTCATCAGGGGGACTCCATGCCAGGAAAACACTTTCTTTGCTCATTCAAAAGACGTGACCTTGACCTGTTCAAGTTTCATCATGATGTTGCTGCAACTCAAGCTCATCTTCAGCCTCCACTCCCGATTCTAGTTCTTTTCTGTTTCCACCATGGCTGCAGTTTCTTCCTCCACTGAAGTCTTGAACCTCTCAGAGTCATCCATGAGGAGTGGAGTCCACTTCTCCCCAACTTCCGTTAATGCTGATATTTTTTCTCCTCTCATGAATCATAGATGTTCTTCATGGCATCTAGAATGGTGAATCCTTTCCAGAAGGTTTTCAATTTACTCTGCCTGATCCAGCAGAGGAGTCACTGTCAATGGCAGCTACAGCCTTATGAAATGTATTTCTTAAGTAATAAGATTCAAAAGTCAAAATTACTTTTTAATTCATGAGTTGTAGAATGAATGATGTGTCAGCAGGCAGGAAAACAACATCACCATCAGAGCTCTTGGGTGGCAGGTGCGTTGTCAAAGAGTAGTAATATTATGGAAGGAATCTTTTTTTTTCAGAGCAGTAGGTCTTAACAGTGGGTTTAAAATATTCAGTAAGCTGTGCTGTAAACAGATGTGCTGTCATCCAGACTTTGTTGCTCCATTTCCAGGACACAGGCAGAGTCTACTTAGCATAATTCTTAAGGGTTCTAGAATGTTTGTCGTGGCAGAAGAAAGCTGACTTGAATGTAAATGTCACCAGCTGCACTAGGTCCTCACCAGAGAGACCTCCTGCCCTCTGAAACTTGGAAGCCCAGAATTGACTTCTCCTTGCTAGTTGTGAAAGTCCTGCATGACACCTTCTTCCAGTAGAAAGCTGTTTCACCTACATGGAAAGTCTGTTTAGTGTTGCCACCTTCCTCAGTGGTCTCAGCTAGATCTTTTGGAGAACTTGCTGCAGCCTCTCCACCAGCACTTGCTGCTTCACCTGCACTATTATGTGATGGAGACAGCTTCTCTCCTTAATTTCCATGAACCAACACATTATTTGTGTAGACATTTCCTGGGAGTAAAACTTGGCTCTTTTGTTCGCTGCTTTACTGATTGTATCTACAACACTGTGTGGCACTTGGTATGTTCTTGACAAATACTTGTTGAATGAATGACTCTACATACATAATTTGCTTATTAGATAATTTTCTTGTGTGAAGAGAATCATTTGGAGCAAAAAGAACCTGTTTGTAATTTGTCAGGGCTCAGGATGGAAGCTGGCAGGATCTGGTCTTGGGAAAGGTGGTTTTGAGAAAGAAAGCAAGATTCTGGGCTGTGAGGTACAGCTGGGTGGGGTGGTGGGGGGAGTGGAAGGGTGGACAATAGGAAAACCCTGGGCGGGGGCTGGCGGGATGATCTTTGAGAAGAGGGACAGATGGCAACAGTGGTCAGGGGTTGTTGAGTGTGGAATGAGACCCATGGCTCTCTGTTAAATGTAAATGTTTCCAAGTCTTCTCACTCAGGCCACTGTGCCCACCCCAGAATATCATGTGTGGACTACACAGCTCATGGAGTGCATAAACACACAGCAGGGCCCACAGTGCACTCCAAATTGGAGAGGTGTCCCCTTCTGGATGGCGTGGCCCAGCCCACCCTGTCTTTTCAGGACTATAGCTGGCCATAGAGAAATCCCTGCTTTGCCAGAAGCTAGATGGCAAGAGCCATTGTCTGGAGAAGGAGCGCCTCGCATAGTGTAGATGCCAGGGAGGGCAGACTCCGACGTCAAGGAGGAAGATGAGGCTGTGAAGTCCACATGATGGACTCACCTTCCAAGTCATGCAGTGGGAAATTTTGTGGCTTTGTGTTCTGTCATACTTTTGCAAACAGAGTGACTAAGGAAAGGGAGGGAATCAGAGAGCCAGGGAGGGGCACTGGGCATGAGAAGAGGGTTCTCTCATGGAAGGGGTCCTCAGCAAGGCAGAGATGGAACTGAGCTGGGGATGTCTGCAGGTGTGGGTGCCAAGCAGGGCCTGTAGCATGGGATAAGCCCACTCCAACTGTCCACTGCCATAGGACATGCTCTTTGTCCATGCACAGTTGAGGCCACGGTGAAACCCTTGTCCTCCAGGAGCCCTGTGGCCATTGTTGCTCTTTTTGGAGGCCGAGTGTGTCACAGGCAGATGGCTCCTGGGGGCACAGGTCTATGGGTGACCTTGTGGACTCATACCTTCCTCAGGCTCACCATCTTTCTAGATGACCTGTCCCCCCATCCCAGGCACTGACCTTGTGGAAGGAAAGACTAAGGAGGAGGGAATGGGAGCTTGGCCAGACCCCACCCGTGACTCCATGTTCTTCCAGGCCCGGTCACATGCCCAGGACTGGGGGCAGCAGGCAGGGAGTCTCAGATGACCTTCCGGAGGAGCTGGAGAGGGGTCTGGGACTCAGAGGTGGCTTCGAGCAGGACACAACCCAGTGTTGGGAAGAAAAGATATCTCTGCTTGACTTGCATGTGGAGCTGGAAAAGTTTCAAAATACCTTAGTGCTCTGGACTCTCACTTGTATTACTTACTGCTCTCATGGTAGGGAATAGCTGTGTGCATTCACAAATAAAAGAAACCCAGGTCAGGGCAGCTCAGCAAATGCCCTCAGGGCTGGCTTAGAGTGGAGGGCTCTGGCCTTGTGGAGGGCACAGGGGAAAATGGCCTCGCCATGAATTCTCCTGAGAGCTTCCCTCCTGGCCCCATCAGCTGACCCAGCTCAAACATGTTCATAGAGTATGCTCCATTGGGTGGCTCTCATTTTTTATCAAAGACCACAGTCATCAGATGGCCATAGAAACACAAAACCTATCAAAGACAGTGTCCTCTACACTCTGTTCCTGGGCTGGGGACCCACGTGAAAATCCCTTCACATGTTAGTAACTAGAAAATGTGTCTCTTTTAATATGCTGGCGTGGCTCCTTTTATCAATACTATTGCAGTGAGTCCCCTACATATGAGCCTTCAAAGTTGCAAACTTTCAAAGATGCAAATGTGCGTTTCCATGTCCAGTCATGTTAGCTAGTTCACGTGTCAGTGGATGCCAGACATTTCTTATGTGAAAAGTATTATAAGTCAATTACAGTACATTACTGTACAGCCGATTGTGCTAGTTGGGTAGCTACGTTGGTTTTGTTGGACTTATGAACGAATTGGACTTATAACATGCTCTCAGAACGAAACTCATTCATAACTAGGGGACTTACTGTATGTAATTTGTGTTTCTTCTTTTTTTCCATGGCTGCCGGCAAGCTCACGGCTAATCTTGGTACATCACAGTACCTGCAGACCAGCCATAGGCTTGGGTCATTCACACACTCACTTTCTCTTTATTATATGCTCTTAACTTTTCATTTGTGTATTTAACCGTTTTCTTTTAGATACAGCTCTTGTTTTTTTAGAAACACTTGTATGATACATTGTGGCATGCATTGTTGTCTTTTTCAAAATTTGCCTTCATTAATACTCTGAGCAAGTAAGAGAAGTGTGTGTATTTGCGGCTGAGTCCTAGTGGGGATTTAAGATTGAAGAATCCTGTAAAAGCTTGGGAGAACTCATTGCAGGCTGGTCTCTAATTCCTGGGTTCAGGCAATCTTCCCACCCTGGCCTCCCCAAGTGCTGGGATTACAGGAATGAGACACAACGCCCTTTTGGAATAGTTACTTTCATTGTTTCATTGTAGTGTTTTATGGTAACACATTGTTTCAATTAATCTTTATGAAGTAGGAATATTCCCGTTTTCTACACTGAATACAGTACTAAGGAAAAGTAAGGTTAAATGACTTGCTTTGAAGGCTGGTTTCAATTCAACATTCCCGGCTAAGCACAGGTGGGACACAGGTCACCTAGGGTCACAGCCATCCACACTCCCCAGGACCAGGCAGAGTGAGAAGCTGCTTTGATTTCTCTCTCCAGAGTTCTCACCAGAGGTCTTGGGCACATCTGGAAATGTTTCCTTTCCAAAAGGTCAAGGGATGAAGAGACAGAAAAGTCCTAGGAGCCACCAGCCACCCAGACGCGGAGCAGCGGGAAGGCGCGTGCATGTATCATGACCACCCCAGGGATGGGCTGCAGGACAGCCAGAGCCTGTGCCAAGTATGACTGGAAACACTCCGAGGGGCTCAGAGGAGGCTCCGTCAGCAGTCTGGCGTTTTCTGGTAAATATCAATAGGAGCAAAACCAGAAAATGAGCTCAGCCTTGTGGGCGAATGCTGCTGGCCTCAGGTGGAATCTCCTAAACCAGTAAACTCTGTTCCAGGGACCTGGATACCCAGCCAAGCCGACTGTCTCACTTCCTTTTGTTTATTTATTTTTGAGTTGGAGTCTCACTCTTGCCCAGGCTGGAGTACAGTGGCTCCGTCAGGTTACCACATACTCTATCTGCTGGGCTCAGGCGATCCTTCCGCCTCAGTCTCCCGAGTAGCTGGGACTAGAAGTGTGCACCACCATGCGCAGCTGAATTGTTGATTTATTGTAGAGATGAAGTTTCGCTGTGTTGCCCAGGCTGGTCTCGAATCCTAGGGCTCAGGCAATTCTCCCACCTCTGCCTTTCAAAGTGCTGGGATTACAGGCGTGAGCCACCACACTGGACTCATCTCACTTCTTAAATGAAAGTGAAACATCTTCATTTAAGAAAATGAAACTGTGACAGGGGAGGATTGGCCTCGGGGCCTGTAACTCAGGGCAGGGCCTATCCACACACTTCTCAGGTTCCTGCCAGGATTATCAGGAATATACGGATGGGCCAGGGTACCCCCAGCATCAAATCCAGTCTTGGGGGGACCTAGCACTTCTGGCAACAGCACTGAGCACTGCCACCCTCCTTGAAGCCAGACCATTCACTCAGGGCCTCTCATCCTGTGTTTCATATTAAGCCATACAATGCATCACGTAAGCTCTAATAGCCTCCCTGCCTCCCTTAAAAACAATCTCCAGCCTCCCTTAAAACATTAGGATAAAATAAAAATCAAGCCATCTCACCTTCCTCCGTCTCGGGCTCTGAACCCCGGGGCTCCACACTGATGTGCACACGTCTCTTGAGCAGTCCCTCTGTCCCCGCACACACACAACCTGCCCACACACTTCCTGCCTCTCCTCTTGACTCCAGGGTCTTTTCTCACCAGTGCATCTGGCATCTCATTAGATAGGCTGGATCTGTTACCTCCAGGATACTCTGCAAGGGGCTCGTGACCCCAGAAGGTCCCTAAGTTGAAGTCCAGTTCCAAGTCACATGGAACCAAATCGTGACTTGCATGCAGGAGCACCCTCACCTATGACCCAAACCCTAATCTTCCAAGTGGGAGTAACCCTACGTGTCACCCAGTCCTTGACATGGCCTTTACACAGGTGTTTACTGAGCTTTCTCTCTTTCTGAAATGACCTCAGCCCTAGGCTGTGGGAAATGCAAAGGTGGCCGGGGCTCTTACAGACGGGGATAGTGTTGGGCGGCCGTGATATGCAGCAGGCAAGGGGGACCAAAGCACCTCGAGGTGAGTGAACAGAGAGCCCCACTTAATGGGGGTTACTGAAGACCACAGGGGTGAGTGGCATTTCACCTAGGTCTGGGAGGAGGAAGACAGTGTGGACAGAGACCCATGTGCAGCCTGAAGCAAGGTCCCCGCGGGAAAGAACTGGCCATTTAGGAGAAACACTGGGCTGGGCTGAGAGGGCTAGGAGACAGGATTAAAACCCATAGGCTGGAATGCCGGGGTCAGGAGGTGGGACTCTGTGCTCTACCAGTGGTGGTCAGGGTAGAAACCAGCAAAAGACTGGAGCTGGAGGGATGGACCCGCCTTCCTGCACTCCGGCAAAACCCTCCTCCGAATGGCCTGAGATGGGGGCCAGGCGGGCCCTGCAGGGGGGGGCAATTAGGAAACCAGAAGGAGAGCTGGGCTCTGGGAATGGAACAGGGCAACAGACCAGAAACAGGAGAACTGCAGGCCCTGTGCCCTGGCCAGGCAGTCAGTGGAGAGAGACGGCCATCTCAGCATAGCAACTGAGCCTGGAGAAGGGATGGGATATCCTAGCAGGCAGGAGAGAGGCCAAGCTGTCTGGGGCGAGTGGTGTTTGAGAGGATGGAAGGCTCAGTGCAGCTGTGAATCTGTATTTAGCCAACTTTGTATACCATCACTTCTTCCTCCTATTGACCTCCACCAGCCGGATGCAGGAAGGCATGTCTGTATCTGCTCACCTCTCCATCTACAGAGGTCAGCCTCCCCTTCTGTGACTCCAGAGTATCGAAGGAGCAACTGCATGATGAGTGAGTGAAGGGAGTGCTTTCTGGAGAGATCGAGAATGGGTTCATGATCCATTTTCTTCACCCAACAGACATTAGCACTGACTAGGACTACACACTAGACATCGAGTTCTTAAATTCCAGTAGGAGATGCTCATATGAAAAAATAAGTGCAGTGACATGCATCTGCCACCGGGTGTGTAGTTCACGCCTGTTATCCCTGCACTTTGGGAGCCTGAGGTAAGATTGCTAGAGTCCAGAGGTTCAAGACCCAGTCAACATAGCAAGACTCAGTCTCTACAAAAGTCAAAAAAATTAGTGGGCATGGTGGTGTGTGTCTACAGTTCCAACTACTTGGAAGGCTGAGGAGGGAGGATCACCTGAACCCAGGAGATCAAGGCTGTGGTGAGCCATGACTGTGCAATTGTACTCCAGCATGGGCAACAGAGTGAGACCTCGACTCACAAAATAATAATAAAATAAAATAACACGTATCTGGGAGAGCTGCCTTCACAGAAGGTCTAGAAGCAGCCTTGGGAGCACAATCCGAAGAGGACAAGTGCTCTGTGGGGAAGCCTCTGAGACAGTATAGAAGAGAAGGGTGGGGAGGAGTGGGAGGATCCCCTGTACTGTTTCCTTTTTGAAATTATTCTTGAAGACTTCCAGTAGCCTACAGCATGCTAACCTTCTTATTTGACGATTATGTGTGTGTGTGATCCAGGTGAGTACTTAGAACAAAAGTATCTGAATGAGAGGTAAGTCCATCAAATAATTGCATTTATTTAGAAGCAGACTCTGTGAGTTTCAAGAAACCCGAGCTTGAGCCTGGCTTTGTCATATGCTGTGTGAGGTGAGGTCAGTTGCATCGTCTCAGGATCCATTCATAAAATTATTGGCATTAGATGTTTAAAAGCTTGCCTGTTTGTAAAATCATGGGGTCAAGCTACTTTATTTTAAGCAGATTTCTAAATTGTAAAAACAACAAAAACCAGAGTAAGTCTATGATTCTAGACAAATTCTTGATTGGCTGAGAGCACTCTAATTTTTTTCTTTGATATCTAAAATTAAATTAATGGATGCTTTCATGTATACTCTTGAACTCTCTTGATAGGATAGTGGGCTGAAAACTTGTTAGAAGAGAAAGAAATACATAAAGATAGGGAAATGGCAGCATAGCTTCAGCAGGGCCAAATACTGCTGAGATCATAGAGAAGAACCAGCTCGACGCCCTGAGGTGTCTTCGGGTAACCGCTCCTGCTAACACGTCCTGAGTCCCCCCACCATGCCCTGAATCTTCCTGCCACGCCCTGAGTCCCACCCCCACACCCCGAGTCCTCCCCCCCACACCCCGTGGCCCTACATCTTTGTCTGCTTCTCTTCCTCCACGACGACCTGTTGTGTCTGTCCCGCAGCCAGCGGTGTGGTTGGGTTCTTGGCCTCCCAATATTCCACTGTCCCATAAGCAACCATGGTCAGGGTCAGGACGCCCAGCAGGATGTAGAGCTTGACGTAGACACACAGGAATGTGCTGTACCCAAAGGCGATGACGAAGCCCAGTGCCTCCCACAGGCGGTAGTTGGCAAAGGCCGCCTCCTTGTTCCTCTCGAACAGGACCCCGAAGAGAGCTGTGGAGGAGAGATGGGGTGAGAGACAGCAGGACTCCACAGGACCCTCAAAGGCTGAGGGGCGTGGTTCCCCTCTGGGAGGGGACATCTCCTGGTGGGTGCCTGAGGACAGAATCCACGACAGGTTAGCTGGAAGGAGTCCTGGCCCACGCCTCGCTCCCAAGAGAAGAACAGAGCTCAGAGCTGTGACTTGGTGGGATGAGGCGCAGCTACTTGCCGGCATCCACAGGCAAAGACAGAGAGAGGTAACAATCCTGTCAAGAGAGATGAGTGTGTTTCCACTCAGGGGCACATCAGAAGTCTGTGCATTGGCTCCGCAGATAAGGAACCCCACCTCAGGATGTTCAGGTGACACAGTAGAGGTAGCAACATCCCCAGCAAAGGGGGCTTTCAGGCCAAGTGCTCCCTACGGTGGCTCCAATGCAGAGGACCCCACCTGTGCCTCCTTGGAAGATCCCACATCAGCCAAACTCTCCTGAAGGACACCGAGGAGCCGGCCGCTCAGGAGAAACGACCTACGTCTGTGTTAGGAGGTGGGATGCATGCCCCAAACTCAGATCATGTTAAAAGTCCTAACTCCAGAATGCGACATCCTGGAGAAAGGGTGTTTTAGAGGGGATTACACCCATGAGGCCGTGAGTTGGGCCCTCCCTCAATCCAACGGGTGTCTCCGTAGGAAGAGGCAATTAGGACACAGACACACACAGAGAAAGGCCACATGAGGCCCCAAGGAGAAGATGGCTGTCTGCACACCAGGAAGCCAGGCCCTGGAGGAGCTCGCCCTGTGACATCATGTCGTCCAGCCTCCGGAACTGAGGGAAGACGTGCCTGTTGTTTCAGCCGCCCTGTTTGAGTGCTTGTTATGACAGCCCGAGCCGACCCTACAGTCTCACAAATGCTCCTAGGTTAAGGTAAGCTATTTTTTGCATCGTGCTGTGTGGCGACATCAGTGACATTTCTAACATGCCTAGGTGAAAATAGAGTGCCCATCTCCACGACACGGGGCAGCAGGCATGTTTGGGGGCTGGTGGTCAGGACCATGGATCCCCCAGCATCCCTGCGTCCTATGCAGGCCCTACCTCACCCAGGACACCTCAACCTCCTGGGCTGCACACAGGCTCCACCCCACGGGCCTGCCCTTCTTCCTCCATCCTGGAAAGAACCCCCACATGGCACCGTCCTGTCCCCTCCAGCCCTCTCAGGAGGCTTCCCATCAGCCCAGATAAGTGTCATCATTCTCTGTCCTTCTCCTCTTTCCCACCTCGTGACATTTCAAAGTGGAAGGGAGTGGGCAGCAGAGGGGTGGTCCTTTGGCATCGGAAAGCCGGGTCATTCTGGTGCCTTCTGCCCACTCGGGACCAGGTCACACCCATTGAGGGAGCCACGTCAGATGCTGGGCGGGGGTTTTGAAGGCTGGCAGCGAGGCCTGGGCGCGTCCCTTCTTCAGGAAAGTGACCTGTCCACTTTGGGCAGACTGAGCTTATCAGAAGTCCTAATCCAGTGTAGTTCCTTCATTATTTAGAAATAGGGTATGGTGGCTCCCATTTTCCAGCACTTTGGGAGACAGGAGGATTGCTTAAGCTCAGGAGTTTGAGGCCAGACTGGGCAACATAGTGAGACCCTGTCTCTACAAAATAAAAAATAATTAGCCTGGCACGGTGATGTGCACCTGTAGTCCCAACTGCCTCCCACGGGACAGCCACTGTCCACCCAGTGTGGAGACCCCAGGGAAAGCAGGGGCCGGGGCAGTTCCTTTCTTTCTTATGCTCGTGAGATTTATCTACAGCAGCTGCTTTTGCAGTTCCCTTGGGGAGGTAGCTGTCCCCAGACCTGGGAAAATTCCCCAAAGGCTGAGGCAGAGAGGAGAGAGATGGAGGGGTACAACAGCAGCAGAGAGGAGAGAGATGGAGGGGTACAACAGCAGCCCCAAGTGACCTCAGACAGCATGCAGGGCTTAGCCTGCCTCAGAAGCATGCTGCCTCCCTAGGAGCAGTCTAGGCTGTGAGCCCACAGGGCCTTGGGACAGAGATTATTTCTTTTTTGTGTGTGAACTCCACAGTGCCTAGCACAGCATAGGACACACACTGAACCCTGAGAGAAACACTGTCCCAAAACACAAGAACTGCCCGCCGCATTTAGGGGCAAGGCTGGGAGACCCCTGGGGTCCTCCAGGTCTGCCCCACTATGTGCAGGGAGGGATAGCCCAGCACGATTCCAGTGAGGCCTGCCTGCTTTCTATAGTCACAGGGAGGGAGAACTGTGTGGGGCCACCAACGTCTGCTGAAACTTGACCTGGGATGTCACCAGCCAGAAGGGGTTGCCCAGCAATTTTCCCCAGTGGGCCATGAGATCCATAGGAGAAGGTCAGGTCCCTCTCGTCAAGCAGTAATGTCACCGAGAGGGGCTTCCTGATGAACCCCAGGTAAAGGGCACAGGCTGTCCCAGTGAGCCTTCCTGTCACAGCACCAGGGAAGGACTGTCCTGTGGACAAGAGCCTAGGATGTCCACTCCGGCCTGAGAGGTATTCTCTTTCTTTCTAAGAACTTTCATAAAACATTTTTCGGGGCTTAAAGCAAGTGATGAGAAGTAGATGCCTGAAGGTTTATTAGGTGGTTTTTCTACAAAATATGTCACACCTGGATTTCTGGCTCCTGCTGGGGACGAATGCAGACTGTCCTGTAGTAGGAGTGCTCCTCACTTAGGCTACAGCATCTATCTTTAAACACTGTGTGTTTCTGGGAAGGCAGGAAGCTCTTTGGAACACGCAGAAGAGGGTGCCCTTCTTGCCGGAGTGTCTACCTTCACAGCAGGAAGGACCCACAGAGTCAGACAACAACATGCAGATCTCATTGGCTTCCAAGACTGTTCTAAAGATCTTTCTTCTGAGGCTGACTCTGAAAAATGGATCCAACAAGGTTCTAGGGAAGGAAATCCAGGTGAGATGTTCTGACCACACGTGGTAGGCCATTCCACATTCTGTCTGGATGGGCCCGACTGACCCTGGCAGGATTAGGATCAGAGTAAATGCACTGATTGCGTGGATGTCCCAATAATGCAGGTTACTCTCATCTTGAGCTTGCTCTTGGGGCCTACAGTTTGGTATTGCTCAAGGATTTCAAGAAGAAACGCAGACTGTGCTGTGATGTGGAGTCACCACTGTGCTCTAAGGAGACTGAGCCCCTGTCTCCCTTGATCAAGTCCCGTCTGGCTCCAGGCCAGATCAGCTCTGTAAGTGGTCATGTGCTCCCAAACCTCCCAAGTTTTTTCACAAACTTAAACTTTCTGGGCCTCTAATACCTCATATGCTAAGTGAAGAGCTTGGCATTTCCTGAGTCTCATTCCAAGACTAGACCCAAGTGAGGAGAACCACAGCAAAGGCAGAAAGGTCCAGACCAGGGGCGTCCAACCCTTTGGCTTCCTTGAGTTGCATCAAGTAAAGAGGAATTGTCTTGGGCCACGCATAAATTACATAATACAGTGAGCGTATATACATATATGCATGGGGTCCCAAAGAAAATAAACGCAAAAATACACATGATGTCGAGAGATTTTGTGGGGCCACATTGCTAGCTGTCCTGGGCCATATGAGGCCTGGGGAGCCGCGGGTTGGCCATGCCTTCTCTAGACAGTCTGTTGACTCACACCCCGGTGTTCAAAAGAGCCCAGGTGTGTTTGGGAGGGGGGAGGGGGGAGAGGGTAGATGGGACACAGAACTTGGAATCCAGAAGGTGGCTGAACATGGGCTCTCCCTCTGGCCACATAACAGTACCGAGGGACCCTAGGAGACCTGAGTAGCACTGGACAGGAAGTGATGGCCCCTGCTCCATCTCATCTCCTGAGCACAGCTCTGCCTACAGAAGCTGGATCCAAGCCAGCAGCAGGAGGAACCCAAGACCTGGGCAAGGCAGCCAGGGCTGCCTTTTAAGAAAATGCAGAGAGGGTATCTGAGGGAAGCCATTTGCCGCACTGGGGAATGGACATCACATGTATGAATGTCGTCAAGCCCAGCCTGGAGGAGGGGATGTCAACACCAGTGATCATTTGGCAAATCTGGGGTTTTCAGGGAATTCAGGAAGATTTGGTTCCTACTTAACCGAAACATAAAGAAAGCAACTCCTCTATCATGTCAAATGGCACAGAAATACCCACAGCTGATGACACAGTGGGGCGTGGCAGCTCATGCCTGCAATCCCAGTGCTTTGGGAGACTGAGGCAGGAGGAATGCTTGAGCCCAGGAGTTCGAGATCAGCCTGGGCAGCAGATTGAGACCTCATCTCTACAAAAAAATTTTAAAAATTAACTGGGTGTCATAGTGTGTGCCTGTAGTCTAAGCTACTCGGGAGGTTGAGGCTGGAGGATACCTGAGCCCAGGAGGTCAAGGCTGTGGTGAGCCATGATTGTGCCACTGCATTCCAGCCTGGGCAGGAGAGTGAGAACCCAACACACACATACAAAAAAAAGAAAAGAAAAAAATAAAAGAACCTGGAACAACTTGTAGTGCCAGAGAGTAAGGAAGTACTAAAATAAATCCACATACATATATGACGTGTCAAAAGAACATGGGAGTCAGTGAGAAAGAGATTTCAGTGGCTAAAGCTGGAACACTTCACATCAGAAAATAAACAGCATAGCACTGGGTTTTAACCCAAAGGATAAAGTAAATATACAAGCCCATGCTAGTGTAGAAAAGTGGCTTAAATACATAAATGGGGGCCAAGGGACAAATATTCCTTATGGAAGAATGATAATCAATATGTCCACATACCCTCTGCCCTCAAGAGGTGTAGACTAATTACGTCCCCACAAGTGTTGGCTTACTTGGTGACAGTCAGTGATGGAACTGACTACACAAAGGACAGGCAGTGCCTTTGCCCTGGGGATACCTGGCAGATGCCATGTTGCCCACATAGTCGAGGCCAATGTCACAGATGACAAGTCGTGTCACTCTTATGCACCCCCAATACGATGGGACAAGAAAGGTGCTTTACTCTGGGTCATCCTCCCAAAACCACAGCCCAGCCTAATCCTGAGAAGACACTGGATACATCCACAGTAAGGGACAGTTTATAAAATACAGTGCTCTTCAGAGCATCAAGGTCATGAAAAACAAGGAAAAGTGATGAAGGAACAGAGACAGGTGCAACATAGTATCCCAGATGAGCTTTTGGAGTAGAAGAAAAAAAAAATTAGCCGGGAAAGAGAGGAATCCAGATAGTCTGTGCTTTCAATAACTGGAAGATACCAACGTCAGTTTCTTCATTTTACAAATTTTCTGTGATTATGTATGATACTTAGCATTCGGAGAAACCGAGGAAGGGCCTATGGTGACTCTCTGTACCACCTTTGCAACTTTTCTGTAATGCTAAGTTACTTAAAAAGAAAATGTTTTGCTCTCCACCTGGCCTGTCTGACTCATCTTTCAACATGGCACAGGACTGATGGATCCAGGACTTGGTTTCTGTCCTCAGACGAGGGGACTCAGACGAGAAGCCAGGCAGGTTACATGAACAGGGCATTTAAAAGAAGTCAGATTTTTCTGAGTTTATCAACCTGAAAACAGCTAATAGGGCAAAATAGTATTTTTGATTTTATTTTATTTTTTGAGTCAGGGTCTCACTCTGTCACCCAGGCTGGAGTGCAGTGGCACAATCATGGCTCACCATAGCCTCGACCTCCTGGGCTCAGATGATCCTTCCGTCTCAGCCTCCTGAGTAGTCATGACTACAGGCAACTACAGGCACATGCCACCACACCTGGCTAATTTTTTGATGTGTTTATAGAGACGAGGTCTCGCTGTATTGCCCAGGATGACTTCAAACTCCTGGGCTCAAGCTCTCCTCCTGCCTCAGTCTCCCAAAGTCCTGAGATTCCAGGCACGAGCAACTGTGCCTGGTCAAAAGAACATTCTTAGACCAGATGTTCTGTCTCCTCACAGCAACACATGGATAATGGTTGCTTTGGCAACTGCACATCCTACATTAACTGTCTGGGGAACATGCAGATAGGAGGAACGGGCACAGCTCGGCAGCAGCAGAGCCTGGAGGGGTTCCTGGAGCCGGGAGCTTGGATAGTGCATTTCACAATCTTGCCCAGAAAGGAGGGGCTCGTGTGGTTAGGTCACCTGACCTGCTTCCAAGTTGGAAATGGAACTGATCGCTTTTAAATTGAACAGTAACGAAAGGCAGGACAGGCTGCACTGAATTTTATTCCATTTTGTCAATTGGGAAAGTATGTGGCTCGCATTTTCTCAAAAGAAAGATACATCCAGGGAGAACAGGATTAGAAATCCAACTTGCTATTTAAAAAAACAAAAACAAAAATAGGCCGAGCCTGGTGGCTCATGCTTGTAATCCCAGAACATTGGGAGGCCGAGGAAGGAGGCTTGCTTGAGCCCAGGAGTTCGAGATCAGACTAGGCAATATAGCAAGATCTTGTCTCTACAAAAAGTAAAAGAATTAGCCAGCTGTGGCGGTGTACATCTGTAGTCCCAGCTACAGGTATCCAGGTATCCCCAGGACAAAGGCACTGCCTGCCCTTTGTGCAGTCAATTCTGTCACTGACTGTCACCAAGTAAGCCAACACTTGAGGGGACGTAATTAGTCTCCACCTCCTGAGGGCAGAGGGTATGTGAAGATATTGATTATCATTCTTCCATAAGGAATATTTGCCCCTTGGCCCCCATTTATATATTTAATCCACTTATCTACACTAGCATGGGCTTGTATATTTATTTTATCCTTTGGGTTAAAACTCAGTGCTATGCTGTTTATTTTCTGACGCGAAGTGTTCCAGCTTTGGTCACTGAAAGCTCTTTCTCACTGACTCCCATGTTCTATTGACACGCCATATATGTGTGTGGATTTATTTTAGTACTTCCTTACTCTCTGGCACTACAAGCTATTTCTTTTCTTGTTTTCTTTTTCTTTTCTTTTCTTTTGTGTGTGTGTGTGTGTGTGTGTGTGTGTGTGTTGGGGTCTCACTCTCCTGAGCCCAGGAGGTTGAGGCTGCTATGAGCCATGATTGTGTCACTGCACTCCAGCCTGGGCAACAGAGTGAGACCTAACTAAAAAAAACAAAAACAAAAACAGAGAGAAAGTTGTTTTTGAGATGTGGCCAGAGCTGAAACAGGTTCCAGTTTGTCTTTCTTTTTTTTCTACTCTACTAGTAAGTAGAGCCCATGTGGGTGTGCTCTGCCCCACAGTGGCAGAGTCCAAGAGGGCTGGGAGGAGTCAGCGGGAGTTTAATTCTGGAACGTCACTCTCACCAGGATGACTGCTGTATTGACCCCTGCAAGACCTTCTCACGAATGTGAGGACACGTTCCCCAACAATTGTTTTGTTTTTGAAAATACTTTTACCCACACAAAAAGACATAAATAACTTCATGTTAAGTCAGTATCTCTTATGGAAGGGAGACTATTAACATGGACACTTGTGTTACGTTTTGGACCTCAGGGAACCTTGTAGAATTTCAATGAGGGAGGTTCCTGAGAGTATCTTACATCCAGAGAAAGAAAGGGAGAGTTAAAGCAATTGTTTATTCCTCGGGGAGAAGGAAAATCAAATGTTTGTTGCATTCATTTTAAACATCTAGAGAGTATTGTGTGGGATATTGTGCGGCTATTTGCCCCAATCCCTTCCTTTACTTTTATTTTTTATTTTTTTGAATTGGAGTCTTACTCTGTCACCCAGACTGGAGTGCAGTGGCATGCTCATGGCCACCACAGCCTTGACCTGCTGGGCTCAGGCGATCATTCCGCCTCAGTCTTCCAAGTAGCTGGAACTACAGGTGTGCACCATCATGCCTGGCTAATTTTTTTATTTATTGTAGAGACGAGGTCTCGCCAAGTTGCCCAGGCTGGTCTCAAAGCCCTGGCCTCAAGAAATCTTGCCTCCACCTCCCAAAATGCTAGGAATACAGGCATGAGTCACTGTGCCTGGCCTACTAATGTGTAAATACTTTTAAAACTTCAAGTAAGTTACATTTTGGGTGGTGGTATGGTATGTGCATTTAGAGCACCCACCAAATTACTCCCTGGCTGCTGTACCTCCAGGGGAGGTTGAAATAGATGCTGTCTGGTGCTTAGGGGGTCAAGTAGCTAGGATTCCTGCTGTGTCCTACAGGTGATGCAGTGTGCCACTGGTTTATAACCTGGACTGCCAATAACAGGCCAGTGAGTGTCTAGTATCTCCTTTCCACTCAACATGTGCTCTGTTAAGAGATACTGCAGCCACCGGGTCCTGGAACGCCCAGTCTATCCCTTTGGGGCTACCCAACTCAACACAAGCAAGCCGGGCAGTGGCACTGAGCCAAGCACACACTGCCATTTTGGCAACAAATCTCCTTAAGGCCTGTGTTACTGAGGAGGCAGAGAGGATTACGAACACAACTCCTGAGCCCACCAAGATAGGTTTGTTCAAAGGTAATTCTCCCAGCTGCCCTATAAGTAGGCAACACACTGTGATGGTGAGAAAAGAACTGGCCTGGGTACTTAGTCAGTGATCTCTGAGGTCGTGTGTGCTTTTTGCCCCCAGGTGCGAGGTGGGCCATTGGCATCCCATTCTGGACACTGTGGCCATAGCTCATTTGCAGATTTGCTTATTCCAGTTTGAGTCTCTGAGTATTTGCCAGATAATGAAGGATGTGATGTCTCTCTGAGGGAGGAGGGTCTCTTCTGAGTCACGCTCACCTCCAACGGGACCCTCAACCTCTTAGTCACACAGTGCTGCCTCTCTGGGCCTCTGACACTCTCGGGTCTTAAAGGGGGCTTGTGGGAAACTCGGGTTCCCATCCTGGGCCTGCACCTGTGTCACCTTCAACCACCCACAAGCCCCTCTGGCCACCGTCCCCCACACCACTCCTGCCTGCCTTCTCTCCCCAACAACCTGCCTCCAAAACTCTTCAGCTCATCAAGTGTGGAAACACAAGTGGCCCACTCACACCCAGCACCCACTGTCCCAGGCACACTGCCCCGTTCTATTGAGCCCTGCTTCAGGCTTTCTGTCCAGCCCAAGCCTGCCCTTCCCCATTTCTTAGACACCTGACCCTCCTGCCCTCTATCAGGGACCGCTCCTTGCCGGACTTCAACATGTCACCCCTACACCCTGCTGCCCTCCCGACCACCAGGCCAGTCTGCCGTATTCTGGGAGGAGGACTGTGGCACTCAGTCCCTTCCATTATCACAGAATGTCACTTCCACCCGATGACCAGCTCTCTCTCAAGGGATCGTGCTTCCTGCAGATAGCTCCTTCTCTGGACCTTGTCACCTCTGATTTGGGGCAAATTGGGCCACCAGCTGGACCCTGTCCCTCCAACACGACATGCCCCTCCCAGCCCCAGGAATTTCAGCCTCTGTGAGGCTGCCAGCCTCCCCCTCCTGTGCCTCTCACTAGCCTCCCTCGCAGCTACACCAGACAGGCAACACTGGAACCCTCCTGATCTATGTGTCCTCTGGTTCACCTCTTGCGGCCTAGGCTCACCTGCATCTGCAGAGCTCTGCTGCCCTGGCCTGCCTTCTGCAGCAGGAAAGCTGGTGGTCAGCTGCACCTGGAGATGGAAGGGAGGCTGGGCAGGGTACTCACCATTGTTCTGAGTCTGCCAGACAGCATCCGCCACACCCCAGAGACCAGGAAACACGAAGAACACAGCCAGTTGCTGGGTGTGAGGTCTCCACAGCAGGAGGGCTATGATACTGGACAGCTGGGTCACTGCACCTGGGACCAGAGGGGAAACAACTGAGGCCGCGGTCACTCGGCCCGAGGGGGTCAGAACATTGGACAGGTCAGGGCTGGAGCAAGCCTCTCCCTGAACATTCGCTTCCATGCTTGGACAATGTTTCCCTAAAATGCCCCAAGGAAGGTCTCCTCAGGAGGCACTTTGGCATTTAACTTGTGATCTGACGTTCCTGTCTGTAAAATGGGTACTGTCCACTTCACCGAGATTTGTAAAGATTACGAGGAAGCCATAGGCAGGGCCTCAGACCCCAGGTCTCTGGTCAGTGTTTCCCGTCTTCCTCTCTCCTGCTGCCTGGCCTCGGATCCAGCCTGACTGGGTACTGCTGTGTCAAGGCCTCACTTCACACGGTTCACACTGTCTGTGGAGTCTCTCCTTTCCTTTCCTTCCCCCCAAAATGGAAGGTGGATTGCCCAGAATGGAGTCCACAGCTTTAAAAGGCTGGTCTCTATCTACTGCATTAAGATGCTGTGAGCCCAGCATGGCTAAAGGGGACTGTCTGCCCCATCCTGACTGTCCCCTTATGGCCCTGCACTCACCTGGGTGTCCTTGTTTGTGCCTTCCAGACCTGCATTGCCCAGCCCAACTCTGGTTACACACCCCGTGGTGCCCATGTGCAGCCAGTGCTCACAGCAGGAGCTACCTCCTGCTGGCGATGTGCCCCAGAGCCCTGCACAGAGGGGAAGCACACCTCCTGCTTGTGAGGGAATGAAGGAAGGAGGGAATGAATGAATGCCTCTCAGTGGGGCTTTGCTGATCTCAGAGCAGTGTCACAGACACTCTCCTGGCCCTTCCCTGAGCCTGTGAGCTAGTGCACATCCTCACAACTGCACATGGCAGGCATCAGCCCACGTGGCTACCTACCTAGCACGTACAGCAGGATCCTGCCCGTGTACTGGGAGACCTTTCCATATAGTAAGGAGCACAGTGCATCAGTGGTTGAGAAACAGATCATCACATAGCCCACGAACTGGATTCCCAGGGCGCAGGTGACGTAGGACTGCAAGGGGGAGGGAGTAAAGAGCATCATGGGTGCTAGGGAGAGGGAAGGGGGAGCAGAGGGTGCACAGAGACTGGGGAGGGAGAGGGAGAAACCTCCCCTGGGCCAGCACTGCAGCTGCAGTGGCAGCTTGGAGCATCCAACCTATGACCGGTGATGGGCCAGTGTGGCTGGACCTTCCCGTAGAGCCTGCAGCTCCCTGAGAAGGAGAGTAAGGCTGACATTTGTAAGAAAGTCCTCTTAGGAACAAGGACTAAAAATAAACAGTTTGGGCAGACATCCAGACAAAATTTCTTCCCACACAGTCCCATCTGTAGGCAGTGACATGAACATTATTTTATAGATGCCAAGACAGTGCATTCATGATAGGGTTGCTCATTTCATGGGGTGTCTAGGATAGTCAAGATAGAAAAGGAAGGGAATCTCCATAGCAGAGACTAGATGAAAGATAGGCACCCTTGCCCTTCATGGTGGGTTACAGCCCAGCCTCTGTCCGGGTGTCCACTCAGTCCACCACCTTGCTGTCATGGGCAGTGTTGAGGACCAGTGTGCAGAAAAGGGATGGGACTAGGAGGCTGTAGCTGCAGCCACGTGAGAAGGTGACAAGGACAGATCCAATGGGAAGAGAAGGGGCTATGTCCAAAACACCAAGTGGACTTTTGGTCAACTTGTTGTCACTCTCTGAGCCCCTAAGACTCTCCACCAAGACTGTCCTAGAAGTAGCTTTGCCTGTTGCAGGGACACATGTGAACTGAGAGATGCTTGTGTCTTGTCTGAAGTTCAGATTTGACTGTGTGAGCTGCCTTTTCATCTAAGTTGGCAATCCTGCCTGGTGGGGAGGAATGGAGGGAGGAAGTTTCCTCCATGAGGGAGGGCAACCTTTGAGGGCAGAGCCATCAGACACTGGCTGCTGGTCCCACCCTGACCACAGGTGTTGACAGCCCTCAATGCAGTGCATCTGCTGTCTTGAGAGAGAGGACCTTGGCCCTCATCAAGTGAAGAGTGGGTTCTCAGGACTAAAGCATCCCTATGTGTTCCCCACCCCAGTATCTGCCAAGTTCTTCAGAGCAGGACACCAGCCTGCCAGGCAGACTAGAGGGATAGAGACTTAGTCAGAGGGTCCCTAATGGAAGGTGGCTGTGGAGGTCTGGCTGGGCCACCCCCAGAAGCCAATGGTTACTGTGAGTCCAGTGTCCCTGTGTTGCTCTAGTCAGCCTAAAGAGGGGCTTCTCACATGCCCACACGGTGGCTGGGCAGCAAGCAGGCAAGACGGGTGACTGGGGAGGGATGGTGATGAGAGCAAACAGGGAGACAAAGTCCGTCTCTCCTTGTTGATTTCTAGATTGATTCATGATCTGGAAACTAGAGGGTTAAGGACTTTCAGAGTTATTCATGGACTTAGTGTGTTCCCTATTTTTAAGCTCAAAACTAAGAACAGAGGGAGAGAGCAGGCAAGCAGACACAGTGACTATTACACGTGGCGAGTCACCAGCTGCCGGCTCCACAGCTCCGCCCTCTTCCTAGGAAGATGCATATCTCAAGCAAGAAGTCTCCCTTGAGATAAGAAGTGAAGCTCATGCGAGTTGGAAGTTGGTTGGAAGCCGATATCTCGAGTCATGAACTCAACTGTGGCAGGGCTGGGCACACAGGAGTCCCATTTCCACCAGACCTTCCTGTGGGTGCTTTCCCTGCAGGTGTAGACCCAGTTATGCTATACTGTGGGTGTAGACACAAGTGTGCCATTCTTACAGGTACAGACACAAATGTTCTGTCCCTCAGGTACAGACACAGGAGTGTCCTCCCTGCAGGTATAGACACAGGTGTGTTATCCTGCAGATGCAGACACAGGTGTGCTGTTTCTCAGGTACAGACACAGGTATGCCATCCCTCAGGTACAGAGACACAGGTGTGTTATCTTGCAAGACACAGATGTACCATCCCTCAGGTACAGACAGAGGTGTGTTATCCTACAGAGACAGACACAGGTATGCCTTCCCTTCAGGCAGACCCAGGTGTGTTATCCTGCAGGTGTAGACACAAGTGTGCTGTCCATCAGGTACAGACACAGGAGTGCCCTCATTCTAAGTGCAGACACAAGTGTGTTATCCTGCTGATACAAACACAGGTCTGTTATCTTGCAAGTACAGACACAGATGTACCATCTCTCAGGTACAGTCACAGGAATGCCCTCCCTGCAGGTGCAGACAGAGGTGTGCCTTCCCTCAGATGCAGACACAGGTAAGGCCATGACTCCCCACTCATGCTGTCTCACTTACCCTTGTGTATTCTCCGGAGAGGAACCCTTGCTGCAACCCACTGTACAGTGGCAGCAGAACCAGGAGGCAAAGGCGTTTGTCTCTCAGAAGCTTGAATGTTGACAGCAAAGTGGACCAGAAAGGCAATGCTTTCTTCTCTCCATCACTGTGAATGTCTCGTATGGGCTCAAGGAACACAGCTATTAGCAGAATGGCCAGAACACCGCTCCCTGAAAGGACGCAGAGGGCACATGTCTCAGCCTTCCTGGGATCCACACATAAACATATACACGTGGTGGGTTTGATTCCTCATGTGTCCTTCCCCAACAGAAGGTAGCTCGGATCCTGACTCCAGGTGACACCAGACACACCGAACTTAAGAGTTCAAACATCAAGTCCCACTTGATCCTATTCGTTCCATGATTACTTCTCGACCTCCCAGCTTTCCTGTGAAACCTGCTGCAACAGGGCAGGATTGTCTTCACTGGCAAAAAATACAATTAGGGAGAGACCCCAGATGCCCTTATTGTTCTGAACACTGGTCCTGGCCCTCTCATCCTACTCCTTGAAGAAACAAATTTTTTTTTTCTGGATATTGAGTCGCATGAGGGCACCATTGGCTATGTTTCTCACTTGTTCCAAACCTCTTTGTGCAAAAGCCCTTCGGTAAGAGCTGGTTGAAGACACTAAGGCAAGTGCCAACTCTGGTTAATATTGTGCACTGAAAGAAAATAAAGAAGGAATCCCTGTGTCTAAGATGGGAACAAATCCCCCAATGTAAATGATAGCAAGCAAAAAAAAAACCAAGGTGCAGAGCTTTGTGCTAATACCACTTGTTTTTACTAAGGATGGACATCAAGATTAACTTGCTGATATGTGCATTAATATGTCTAGGGAATGAAGTGGACATAGCTTTTCTATGGGCCCAGAACTGAGGCCTGAGGGACAGTGGTGAGGAGACCTCACTGCATGCCCTTTTACGGTAGAGTGGTTCCCCCTCATTCCAGGGGCACACGGTCCAAGGCCCAGGGAGTGCCTGGACCTCAGTGGTACAAACTCCACATACACCTGATAACCATGATGGCTACTCGGTGATTAAAGTGGGAAATGTCTACACCTTGGAGATACTGGACAAAAGGGTCTGCTGCCAGAAGACACAGTGAGGCTTGCTCCTGTGGCAGAAGGACAGAGAGTGACGAAGGTTCTGGAGGCCACACTGATGCAGAAAGAGCACTTTTCTGCAGCCTGTGCTGTTCTTCTAGAACACAGCCTGCCGGCCAAAGCTTATCCACCACCTGCTTTTGTAGATAAAGTTTTCTTGGCACATGGCCATGCTCATTTGCTAGCATATTGTCTTTGGCTTTTCCCTCACTACAGAGATAGAGTGAGCAGTTGCAACAGAGACCGTATGATCCTCAAAGATCTCTTTAAAATGACAGCACATCTACTGTCTAGCCCTTCACAGAGAAAGCTTGCCGACCCCTGCTCTGAAACTCTGTCATTTCATGAACTGGAGACGTCTTTGCTGATGGCTGCTGGAAATGGCAGAGCTGAAAGAAGCCTGAGGGTCTGACTCAGCCCAGTCCTGAGACCCCTGGCTTCCTTGCTATGTAGAAGGGTGGGTGGAGGAGAATAGAGGGAGCACAGACCTGGCTGACCTTGCTGGCATGTGGATGGGAAACAGGACTCTCTGGGAAAATGTGACAACCATTTCAGTTGGCAAAAATTTAGAGACTAGAGCAGCCACAGTCTACTCCTCACTGATCCCTTCTCCTCGCCTTCCACTCACAGCTAAAACTACTCAGCCTGGCCAGCACTCTCCCAAACTGCTCTCTTGATGAACTTTGGCAGCCTCTCAGTGGCTGAGACCCTGGGTCCAGTCTCCTTTCTGAGCCTTCCAGGGCCTTGTCACTCTTGACCTTGTCAAACCCCCTCCCCAGCTGCTCCTGCAAACTTGGACACCCCACAAGACCCTGACTTTGCTTTCTGTCTCCTTCAAAGGCCCTTGTCCCCTGTGCACCCCTCAGTATTGGTACATTGGGGGTCAGCTGAGTCCCTGCTCCCTAATGATTCTTCCTTGCTACCTTGTGACCAGTGATGGAAGCACTAGACCCCAACCAGTCTTTCAGCAAGAGTCATTCAAATACATTACACACACACACACACACACACACACACACACACACACACACACACACACCCCAATTTATACAGGTTAGTTTTCAGGGTCACTTGGGCATAGTTAAAATACCAATATCCAGTCCACCAATAACCTGGTCTACACAGAGTTGTCTGCTATGGTGGCCATCAGCCTCCTATGGCACTGAGCACTTGCAGTGTGTCTGGTGAGACTTAGGAACTGAATTTTAAATTTAGTCAATTAAAATGTAAATAATCACATGTAGTTCCTGGCTACAGTGATGGAGTCCACAGATGTCAAACAATTTTGTCATCACAGCATACTCTGTTAGCACTGGTCTACTATGTTTTATTTAATGTGGAATATACCTGAGTGTAATCCAGCCCAGTGCATTTGCAAGAGTTTCCAGATGAAGGAAAATGACTTAAGTTAGGGATAAGATACTTGTAAACACAAGAAGGAGGTTTGGCTCTGTGTCATTGAGGACCTCAACCTATGTGGTGGAGTACATACCAGTGTAGATGCCCAGTAGAGTGTAGATCAGCTCCTGAGAGGGGCGCTGGGTGCTATTGGTGGATGCTGTGGCCATCAGGCAGTCACTGGCCCCACAGGACACAAGCTGCTCTTCTGGGATGGCCTCTGTGAAGTCAAAGCAAACAGAAAACATGAGAAGGTGGGTAACTTGATACGACATAGACTCCTGAGAATAGAAGTGATGGTGGAGAGGAAGGTGGACACCCTGAGTGAGACATCACAACAGATCACATGAAAGGAGCAAGTGCTCAAGATACATTTACCCCCACACTCCAAGTAAGACTTCACAACAGGTCATGTGAAAAGATCAAGTGTTCAAAATACATTTACCCTACACTCCAAGCGAGACATCACAACAGGTTGTGTGGAAAGAACAAATACTCAAGTTACATTTACTCCCACACTCCTAATGAGACATCACAACAGGTTGGGTGGAAAGACCAAGTGCTCAAGATACATTTGCCCCCACACTCTGAGTGAGATATCACAACAGGTCATGTGGAAAGACCAAGTGTTCAAGATACATTTACCCCCATACTCCAAGTGAGACATCACAACGGGTCACATTGAAAGACCAAGTGCCCAAGATAAATTTACCTCCAGGAACGTGTCCCTAGATTTGGCTTTAAGACACTGGCTTGGAGGCAGAGCATCACGTTAGTGTTCTGGAAAGATTCAAAGAAGAACAAGCATGGAATACATGCCAGTTACTTGTTATATTACTTTCCCGACATAATTAAAATTTTTCAACTTTTCAAAATTAGTCAAAAAGAAAGAAAGTACATCAAATTTGATGTCAGGAATGCTGGATTCTGTTTCATATTCATCTGTAACCGGTTCCATGACCTTGGGAAAACGATTTCATAGCTTGTTTTTGAAAGCAAATGTTAGTTTCCCAATCTGTTAAAAGAATACAACCAACAACTTTCTGTCAGAACTCCTGTCCAGATCTCTGAGGGAAAAGATATAGCAGAAGAAAGAATATTCAGTGTTGTACTGTTTTTGCAACACTTATTTCATAACATACAACTTGAAAGAATCTTCTAGGCTATTCAGACAGCAGACAGCAGAAGAAGGTACAAAACAAGGGAAAAACTCTGTGGTGCCCTCCCACCACTTTGACCCTCTGATTCTGTGTCCTGTGCTCTCTTGGAGGATTAAGCTCACTTACTGGGATGTCTCAGAAAGTCAACCCTGTTACTCCATACTGATCGTTATGTAGAAGCTAAAGTCTAACCTCAGTTTCTGTTTCATTATTGCAGATGGCAGCAGCTGTTGGGAGTAAGAATTGATATACATTAACCCATTGTTTTCTTCTTCAGATTCCTTTAGCAAGGAATAGTATCATGTGAGAAAAAGGGAGAGGGATTTTGTCTACAGGGTTTCCCAAAGGTGGAAATTTTTATGGGATACCATAATGGAAAACCTGGATGAAGAGAGAAATAATCCTCATCCTAATCAGGAGAGCTAGATTGCTTTTTACTCCACTGGGAAAGGTGTCCTGTAAGAATTGAAGAGATTTATTTCCTCTGCCCTGGGCTTAAAGTTTCAGCATGAACATCACGAGTACAGGCATGAGACAGATATGCACTTTACACCCATGTCTGGACAGAGACAGGTGGATTATGGACCAACCCATTGCATGTCCAGGTCAGTAGTGGGATTATTTTTTACCCCACTGGGAAAAGTTTCCCATAAGAATTAAGAGATTTATTTCCACTGCCCTGGGCTTAAAGCCTCAGCATGAACACCAAGGTACAGACATAAGACAGATATGCACTTTATACCCATGTCTGGACAGAGACAGGTGAATTATGGCACCAGTCCATTGCATGTCCAGGTCAGTAATGGGATTGGGGGCTAGCATGTAACATTTGAAAAACTAGTCCAATTCATTAGGAAAATAAACCAGGCAAACGCTTCTTAGTCTAAAAAGGATAGTTGTATCTTCATGGACCTGAATTTCACCAGCAGTGGCCCTCAGTTTCCCCATGGCACCTTTTCCCAGGAGTTCCCCGGCCCTGTGGAGACCCCCAGGCAAGATACAAACCCTATGTCCCACCCAGGGAGGAGAGGTGTTGGGTGACTCTGAAGTGCAGGCAGGTTGAGGATGCACCTGTGGGACCCGACTCCCCTGCCCAAGTTACAGAATTAAGACAGGTGCATGAGTGGAATCAGGGCCCCTCTCTCAGGGGTCATCCCCAAGATCCTGTGACTCTTTGTAATGACTGTTCTTTCCTTTCCTTTTTACCTTGACTGGGGGTCTGGCCAAACACCAGAGATGAGATCAAATTGCCCCACACGCCAGATGACTGGAATATGAGGAAGAAGATGCCGAAGTACTGGTTCACCACATCTTTGCCGAGCTTTCCCACCTTCTTTGCGTACGTGTTCCCCATAATCGTGAGGTATGTGCAGTGGGCAGCCCACAGCGGAGCTGCCCCAAGCCCCAGCAGTATGGAGGTGGGAATCAAAGTGTACCTGTGAAACAAAATGCAAACATATTGTACTGCCTGTGAAATAAAAAACAAACACATGGTTCCACCTGTAAAATAAAGCACATAGGGTACATTGGTCCCCTCTGTTTCTTTGTGTATTTGGGAGAAGGAAACACCATGTCTGATCCCTTGCAAGCATGATTATGTTTGTTGATTGGCTGGTGGGTGGATTCACCATTAGACTCACATAAATGGGCAAAATCAGCAACTATTCTGTTTCGGGATGATTTGCAAAAGTGAAAGTCAAGGCCAGCAAAGTTTTCTTGTTTTTGGATGCGATTACATACAACAGACTTAGGCGAACACAGGAGCTGGGTGGGTTCTAGATGTTGTTAATAAAAGCATGGATGGATGGATGGATAGATGGATGAATGGATGCATTGATTTTGCCCTCCCCAGCAGAGATTCTGAATGAAAAATCTATGGTGACAGCAAAAGACGAATGTGAAGCCATCAGAATCTGTATGTCCTGTGTTACAGCCAAGGGTCCCTCAGAGTTGCTTGGTTGATGTATTCCTGGGGACAGGGGCATGGAACTAGAAGTCCTTAGAGCCTGGTTTTTGCGATCCGTTTCACCAGGAGCAGGTTGGCCCCAGGCGGTGTCCCCAAGGACCATCTCTGGCTGTAGCCTCCCTCTAATGATGGAATGAGGGCAGGTTTGGGTCCATTGGTTACATTCTGGCTATGTCTCCATGAGACTCACTCTCTATGTCTAGATTAGATGTTCCTGTTGTTTCTGGGGCCATACAAGTGACCTGGTGTGGAGAGGGAAGCTGAGGCCAGGACAGAGCCCAAGAAATCATCATCAGAGTCAGGAGGAGGAGATGGAGCTGGTGGGGGACAGAAGAGGCTAGGTGGGAAATAAAAAAGCCATGTATCATCCTGTCTCACAGACAAAGGCAGTGAGCATGCTTCAAAATGAAATCAACTGACAACAATCAGGACGCGGATGCTGGGTAGGGCAGGAGGGGTCCTACCAGCTGGCCATGAAGTTGCCCAGGGAGAAGGCCAGATAGCCACACATGGACACGGCGATGGTCCACTTGCAGCCAAGGCTCTTGATGAGGATGGGCGGGAGAAGCATGGAGGACAGCAGGACAGCACCATAGAGGGTGCTCAGCGCCGTCACGCCCAGGCCTTCCTCGCTGTACAGGCTGCTCTGTGGGGACAAAGCAGCCTTGTTAGAGGACATAGATGGGCTTGAGGATGAGGGGGACCAGTCACGGTGGATTCCCAGGGACCATAGGCACAAGAACACCACAGGTCCCAGGAACACCAGCAGCAGCTCCCTGCATGATGACCTCTTCATCAGCTGGTGGGAAGAAGGCCCAGATAAATCCCAAAGGAACAAGTCAGTGCTTCTGAATACCAGGAAGAGGGGAAGTGCTTGTGTTGGGGGTGGCTCTGAGAAGCCCTCATGAATTTGTGGATCTCTTCCTCCATCTTGGGGGAGAGGGATAGCTGGGGACTTCCGCCCCCATCTCAGGTGAGTGGAGAGTCTGGGAGCCTCTGCCCCCATCTTGGAGGAGAGGGGAGGCTGGGACCTCTACCCCCGTCTTGGAGGAGGGGGAGGCTGGAGACCTCTACTCACATCTCAGGGAGAGGGGAGGCTGTGGGCCTCCGTCTCAGTCTTGGGGGAGAGGGGAAGCTGTGGACCTCTGCTTCCATCTTGAGGGAGAGGGGAGGTTGTCGACCGCTGTCCCCATCTCTGGGGAGAGGAGAGGCTGTGGACCTCCACCTCCATCTCAGGTGAGAGGGGAGGCTGTGGACATCCGCCTCCATCTAGAGGGAGGGGGAGGCTGTGTGGGTGAGGGGCCTGGGAAGGACTCTCCAGTCGCCCATGGGAGAGAAAGACTCACTCTGTTCAGAGTTCAACTCCACTTCTCCCACTAACCGTGCACATGGAGATGCAGGCTCCTCTCACTGGCGTCACTGTCAGTGCCTGCCTGGCAGAGCCTGGGTGTGAAGTGGAAAGTTCAAACGAGGACCAAGCCAGGTTGGCGAGAGCAGTCCCAGGGCAGAGTCTGGCTTTTACAGTTAAGGAAAAGTCAGCAAAAGCGTTCCTTTCTCTTCTTTCATTTGTAAGAGGAAAGAATGGAAAAGGAGGACTAGGTGGTGAGGGAAGAGAGGGAAGGATGGACAATAAAGGGGAGGAGACGGAATGTGGGGCCAGAGCAGCGCCCTCTGGGATGCTGTCTGCCATATTGGCCTCTGAGTCACCCCAGTTCCGGGAAGGCCTCCAAGATTTCCAGTCTAGCTCTTGTTCCTTGTGAAAGGGCAGACACATAAAGTAAATCCTGCCCGTAGGTCAAACGGCCTTGACCTTATCATTCTTCAAGTATCCCGCCATCCCTCCTGAGTCCTCCATGATGTACAAACCCCAATCAGGGAGTGATGGCCCAGATCCACCATCTACCATCAAGAGACACAGACACGGCTTCTGTTTGTAAGTTCCTATTACATGCTTCTTTCTGAGAAACTGGATATGTCAGTCTCTTGGTTTGGCCTGTCATCTTCCTAAGACTTTAGGGTGGGTCTGCATAGACCTGCCCACAGCAGAATATGGAGAGGGGAACAAGGGGAACAGCTGGCTTCTCCTCACGGTCGCCCTACAATTCCTCCCATTTCAGTGTCTCCCCACTCTTCCCCTCCAGCCTAGTAACCCCCAGAATGGAGGGAATGCTGTGTGCTCCAGGCCACTGGCCAGACCCCAGAGGAAGAAGAACTGCTCATACGAGGCCTCTTCCCGGGAGGAAACCAGGGCCGGAATCTCAGCAACCACCGTTCACTGCGTGTCCACAATGTGGCCGACACTGAAATAAGAGCCTCTCCATTCGTCATCCTTTATGACCCAGTGACAGGTGTTACTACCCCCAAGGGAAGGACAAGGAAGACACTTTGTAGCTGTGGGCTCATACTCGCAGGTGGTTAGTGTGTGAGCAGCCTCCAACCACGTCTAATCATCTGGAAGTCAGTTATTTGAATGCCTGGAGTATGCATCTGCCAGGCTTGCCCTAAGAGAATACCACAGACCAGGGGCACTGAAACAACAAAAAGTTATTTTCTCAGAGTTCTAGAGACTAGACTCACAAGAACAAGCAACACTTGGTGCTGATTTATCCTGAGATCTCTCTCCAAGACTGTAGACTGCCTCACATGCTTTTTGTTTGTTTTTTGAGTTGGAGTCTTTCTCCGTCGCCCAGGATGGAGTGCAGTGGCATGCTCACAGCCACTGCAGCCTTGACCTGCTGGGTTCAGGCGATCCTCCCGCCTCAGCTTCCAAGTAGCGGGAACCACAGGCACGCTCTACCACACCTGGTTAATTTTTATTTATTTATTGTAGAGGTGAGGTCTCACCAAGTTGCCAAGGCTGGTCTCAAACCCCGAGGCTCAGGCAATCCTCTCGCCTCCACCTCTCAAAGTGCTGAGACTACAGGCGTGAGCCACTATGCATGGCTCACATGGTCTTCTGTCTGTGTGTGTCTGGGTCCTAATCTTCCCTTCTTATAAGGACACTGGTCATCCATGTTAAGGCCCACCCTAACGGTCTCATGTTCACTTAGTCACCTTTCTAGAGACCCTTTCTATAAACACAGTTGCACGTGTGGTGCTGAGGGTTTCAGCATGTCTAGTTTTGGGGGGACATTACCCAGTCCATAGACAACTAACATTCCTGATCTCCCTGGCAAGACAGAAGATCTTGCAGCCAAGAGCCACCTTTCTGGGTTCACCTTCCTAAAACATCCCTTCCCCCTCACTCCTTTATCCCCAGGGGAGTCTAGGAGCCTTGGACTGATCCCTCCACAGGCAGCACTGCCATGACCACCAGGCTTATCCTCTTCTCTTCCTCCCTCCCCTCAGCATGCTCCCTGCATCCTCACCCCTTTCCAGATGGTCCCAGGTCAGACTCTCTACGTCCCTCTCTGAATCCTCCTGTCCATGAAGACTGAGTCTTGATCTTGGTTTGGAATATCAGTTTCGACCAGTCATGCCCCTCTCTGTCTACCTCCTGACCCCCCAACGCTGCCCCACCTGGGTCCCTTTGGAGGCAGGGGAAATTCTCTGCTTCCTAAATTCCCCCTAATACTTTGCCCAAAGCAGTTGTTTGGTCATATTTTCTTAGTTCTTTAAAAGGGAACACAAGAAAGACCAGTTCTATAACAATTCTGAAGGCTGGCTGGACGGATATTGCACACCACCCTCTGGAGTGGGGCTTTCTGGACATTTCCGCTAATACTCATGTTACCAGGAGCATGGTGTGAGAGTGGGTCCAGCCTGGGCCTTTGTCTCCTGCATTTTGCCCCACACCCTTGCAAGCCTCAGGGTTTGCTGCCTGTGCCTGTGGAAGGAGCATGACTGGGTCGCGTCCGACCTGGAGCTTCCTCCTGGCCACAGCCCTCTGCAGGTGGCAAGCTCTGTCTGCCGTTCATAACAGAGTTTGGGTGCAAATCATGAAACAGTTAGACAGATTCAAAATCCAAAGTAGGAACAGAATGTCACAAGCACGTGTCTGTGAGAATGGCCACGTTCTAACACATGCATTGGTGTGTGTTGGGAGACCAGCCTGCAAGACACATGTATGAAGGTGAGTACATGTATGTGCTGAAATTCCTGAGTCTTTCTTGCATAAGCAATGATGTCATGGCTTCAACTAATTCAATAGGAAGTCAGTAAGCATGAACCACCAGAGGCTCTGTGCAAGGCTCTGCATATAAAAGAAAATTAAAACACTCCTGCCCTCAAGGAGCTGAGAAGCCTGTGTCAGGGAAACCTGCATGCAGTTCAGGCAATTGGGCTGGGTATCCCACTGGAGGCAGTGGTCATGTGCAGCCCTGGAGTCTTGCTGCAGCAGTGATGGGGAGGGACACTGGTGGCTCCTCAGGCTGTCCCTCCCTTTTTCCTCTGGCTCCCAGGTCCCAAGGCCAATCTGCAGTGCATCCCACGGGAACCGCTTCCTAAGAATTCCGCCCTGGTCACGCCAGGCCCCACCCCAGGGAAGCTGGCCCTTCTGAGCGACATAGCCAGCAGGGCTTCCTCCTGCAGATGGGCTCTCCAATGGAAAAGTGCTTCTGGGGTCGATCCTTCCAAGAGCACACGCCCTGCCACATGCCACATAAGTGCAATCCAATACAACAGCAAATCAGGGGCTTCAAGTGCACTAACACTTTGTTATCATATCACAATGTTCTGAGGGAGCCAGGGGCCCCTAAGGTCATGTACTACCATGATAGAAAAGGAGATCATGTATCCCCTTCCACTCGACCTTGGGAATCCCCCTTGGCTGTCATGTCATCCTCCCTGAGCCTGAGTGGAAGCAGGACTAAACAGGAACTGGGTAAAAGAAAACGCTACTTGAGAATTAAGGGCTGAACTTGAGCCTCTTTGCAAACATACAAGTCCAAATTGTTTGCATAGTAACAGTGAGAATAGATGCCTTTGATGCTGAGCCTCTGGGTATGCTTTTCTGGTTTAATATTGTGCACACAGTAGGTGCCTAATTCTTGTTCTTGATTGACAATTCATGCAAGACCATCAGAAACCCCAGGCCACAGGGTACAACACTGAGGGAAGAAATGCACCCAGGGGAATAACAATAGCACCACTTCCTGACTCTTCCCTGGCGTCCCCTGGAAGACTATTCACAGTTGGAGATCAGACCTGAAATGTAATGACCTCAGGGAAATATGTCTACTCCGCTTCTGGGTTCACATGATCAATGCCACAGCCTTTCAGAGAATGTTGCTAGATTTTTTTTTTTTTTTTAGAAAGCAGGATTTATTGAGAGGACACAAAAACTCCCATAGTGGGAGGGGGCCCAAGAAGGTTGCCCTGGTGCTAGGTTTTTACACAGGCTCACAGACCCAGAGAAGAAAGCATGCCACACAGAGTTCAAAATATACAGATCATTTTGTCAAAGTTCACAGCTTTGTTAAAGTAAGCTTGGAATCTATATGGTCTAGTGAAATTTGATAAATCCACATTACTTTCCCTGTTCACAAACCAAGGACGTGGAGCCATAGGCTTCACAGTGACTTTCCTTGTGTCTCCTTTTAATCACCCAAAGAATGTTTCATCACATCACTGTCTCAAGACCCTTGCTCTCCTTAATCTAGAGCAACACACACCATGCTGTTGTGCAACACTCTGGAATGTGAGTAGGAACGCACATTGTAGGACTCCATATACAAACCCCTGTTTGTTTTAGAGGATAGGGTGGTGAAGAAGAAATACTAAGTGAACTGGATAAAAAGAAACCCCATTTCAGTGTTGTCTGTAACCATGGGGATTTGTGGAGGCCATGGAAGTTGAGAAGTGAAGACGGTGTCCCAAGGGCACACACTCACCTGCAGGCTCTGCAGACCCCCGTATGCGGTGAACAGAAGCAGGAACCCGAAGGAAACTACGAGGACATTCTTCAGACTCCTGTCCATCATGCTGACTACAAGTGTCAACCATCAGTGAACGCCTGTGTCTGCAGTTCCCTAAAAGAAAACGGTTGGGACACAAGGAAAGCAGTCTGCCCCAAGAAGTCCCATTCCCTCTCTCAAGTGAGTAAGCAGCGTGTTAGTCATTAAGGCGATTGCCAGTTAATGAACTTGGCTATCGCTGACCCCAGGCAGCTCTCGGGAGTGCTGTTACTCATTCACTTTCTCTGCAATCCACAGTGGCCACTTTCCATAGGCAAAAGGTCATGACTCTTATCACCTTAAAGGTAGTTGTGTTTTCTTCCTATTAATTCCCAGTAGACGTGGTTCTTATGGTAACGTGATGCGTTTCATGTTTTATAGGTATATACAATGGTCCCTTCCACGTTAAGGAAAATGGCCAATGGTGCAGAATGTGGACTTCAGTCTTAAAGAACAAAGCATAAATGTCCACTTCAAGATGCAAAGTCCAACTCTGAAAAGGAGCTCACGTGGTTCTGAGATCCCAGGCCCAAAGTCTTGGTATTGCAAAGAATATATGGTTTTACAGCACTGTAATCATTTATAAAAAATAACTTACATAAGTTCAGTGCTTTAGAACATGCAAAGCACTTTTACATGCATCATCTCATGTTATCTCCACCAGTGCTATGATCATTAGCATTAGAAATCTTAGATCCATTGCAAGATAGAAACCTGAGCTTCAGGAAAATTCAACTATTCAGTATCTCAGGTCTGGAGCAGTGCTGTCCAGTGAGCTAGTCACTAGCTAGGGTGGCTGTTGAGTATTTGATATGTGGCAAATGTGACAAAGAAACTGAATTCATAATTGCATCTCATGTTAGTTAATTACAATCAAAATTTAAATATCCACATGTGGTGAGTGCCAACTGTATTAGACAGGGCAGGTCTAGAGCTTCAAATAACCTACTCCCAAATGCATATCTAATAAGCAAGAAAAATCACTTTTTATTCAATTGTTACTAAAACTTGATGTTTGTAGACTGTTTCCAAAGTTCTGATAATTTCTATCTAGTTTGAGTCTATAATGCAAGTCCAACTCACAGTGGCAACGCTGCTTAGGGAAGCTCGCCAGACCATTTGAACAGTAAGATCAGCAATGGATGGGATAAAGTCATTGTCACTTAACTTATTCCAACAAAAATACAAGTCGCCATATTTTCTGGTGAAAATATAAATGGTTTTATAAGTTGACTAAGCCTGGATTGTCATGTGTAGGTAGACACAGAGCAGCATTGTCTAGCACAGGGAAACCAGCTGTGGAGACACGAGCTATGCAGGTTCACACTGCAGCTTCTCATAGGCAGTCTCAGGTGGGTCATGTTACTCTCTAAACCTCAGTTTCCTCCTAGAAAAGGAGGCTTGCAGAAGTTTAAGAAGCTAATAACTTTGAAAGCCTTCAGAACAGCTTGACATTTAGCAATCACCAATACATGCTGACTAAGACAACACTTTGACTTCAGAGAAAATGCACGTTGGAGCAATATTTGAAGAAATGTAACACTTCGTGTTCCATGAATGTTTTCGTTTTCTTTTCTTTTTGAGGTGACATTTTGTCTTTCTGTTTTCAATTTTTTTATTTTAAAAGACATGATATAATACAGGGTTAGGTGTAAAAATGATCATTGTACAGGTAAAGTTTGGGCCTCTTTGGTCCTCACATCACCTGGTTTGAGATCAGATACCCTTAATGATGAAGTGTGCCCAGCTCCCCACTGCTCCCTCATCTGGCAGTTTCCCACTACTGCTAATCCCTTTCTTAAAGTATTATGATAATTGTTTAGGATCTGCTTATGAGTTAGAACATGTGGTACTCAGTTCTTTGTTTCTGTGATAGAGCACTGAGTATAACAGATTCTAAATCCATCCAAGTTGCTGCAAAGTTCACAATTTCGTCCCTCTTTATGACTGCATAATCTTTCATCATGTATATGTACCACTTATTAAAAATCCAGTCTACTTTCGATGAGCAGCATGGTTGGTTCCATGTTTTTGCTATTGTGAACAGTGCTGCAATAAACATGCTTGTGGAGCTTCTTTTTTTTTTGTAGAATGATTTGAGTTCCTCTGGGGATATTCTCAGAAGGGAGTTGCAGGATCATATGGAAGGTTGATTTTTAGATCTCTTAGGAATAGCCAAACTGTTTTCCACAGAGGTTGTACTAGTTTACACTCTCACCAACAGTGTAGAAGTGTTCCCTTTTCCCTGCATCCTCTCCAGCATCTGTTGTTTTTTTAGTTATTGATGGCCGTTCTGACGAGGATTAGGTGGTATCTCAGTGTAGTCAAGAGAGCAGGGAGACAGCCCACACAGACTGGGAAAAAATATTTGCCAACTGTACATCTGACAAAGGCCTAACATCTAGAATCTACAAGGAACTCAAACATGCCGAAAAGAAAAAAGCAAGCAGCCCTATTAAAAAGTGGGCAAAAGACATGAATAGACACATCTCAAAAGAAGACATATGAGCAGTCAACAGATACTTGAAAAAATGCTCAGCCTTACTAGTCATCAAAGAAATTCATGAACGTTTTCATATCAGTCTTGTAATCTGTTGATACTTTTTAGCTTCCTTTTTACTTGCAGTGCTATAGTTTGCTGCAATCCTGGTCTGTCTATACCTGATGATTTCTTCTGCTGCCTGCTGTTCTTCCTCCCTTGGGTGTTTCAACTCATCAGACCCATCTCTTAGGATTTGCTGACTGGCTCTGGGAGCGATTTCCAGCAGCTTCTATTCCTATCCTTCCCATCATCTGCCTGTGTCTCCTGAGAAGGTTCACAGTGTTAAGTGAATAAGCCTCAGATGTCAGTTTCTGTCTACCCAAGCCATACCCCTCCTGTCTCTCCCATGATCCTACTTCTACTGGGAATTAACTTCTAAAATCATCACTCTGATCACTTCTGCTTTTCCCCTCTTCTCCACCTAGTTCCTCCCTTTATTAAGAGGGAATTCTTACCTGGGTGTGTTGGCTCACACCTGTGATCCCAGCACTTTGGGAGACGGAGGGAGAGGAGCCCAGGAGTTTGAGACCAGCCTGGGCAACATGGCAAGACCTCGTTTCTATAATAAATTAAAAAACTTAGCTGGGTGTAGTGGTGTGCACCTGTAGTCCCAGCTATTTGGAAGGCTGAGGTGGAAGATCACCTGAGTCCAGCAGGTTGAGGTTGCAGTAGCTGTGAGCATGCCACTGCCCTCCAGCCTGGACAATAGAGTGAGACTCTGACTAAAAAAAAAAAAAAAAAAGAGAAGGGGCGGATCTTAAAAAATGAAGAGTGTATTTTACTTTCTAGCACACACACAAAAAATGTTTTTCTTCATTTTTTTCTTAGTCGGGGTCTCACTCTGTTGCCCAGGCTGGAGGGCAGTGGCACGATTATGACTCAACACAGCCTCAACCTTCAGGGCTTGGGTAATTTCCACCCAGCCTTCAGAGTAGCCGGAACTACAGGCCTGTGCCACCATGTCTGGCTAATTTTTTTTTTTTGTAGACATGAGGCCTCACTATATTGCTCAGACTGGTCTTGAACTCCTGGGCTCAAGTGATCCTCCTGCCTTGGTCTCCCAAAGTTTAATATCAAATTAAACTTACTTTCTCATCATACAGATTTGGAGAGTGTGTGTGTCATGGGAAGGTGACAGTGCCTGTCCTACATTGCTTATTGCTTAGCTGTACAGATGTGGTGGACACTGTCTGCAGGTAAATGAAAGACAGAAATAATCTGCAAATAGCTGAGTTGAAAATGCCCATTTCATATTCAGAACTCACCAGTAGAATATAACTCACTGCGCCCAGTCTAAAATGTTTCTTTAAGAAGATATTTACCAGCACTCCCAGGGGCTCCTGTGACCAGGACTGGCCTTAGATGTGGTCACTCAGTGGTCTCCTCATACGGAAAGCGATGTTCTTATCTTACCCGACCCCTAAGTCTGTCCTCACTCAACATTCACATTCCTGCAGATGTGGGTGAATGAAGGAAGAGAATGCAAAGTCTGGAAACCCCAAAGTGGGCTGACTTTTGGAGTTGGCTTCAGCGTTGTGGCTTTGCGCACTGGAGCCATGAGCCTGGACCAGGTCTGACCTCCAAAAGGTTGGAGAGATGTAAGTATGAGTGATTCAGAAGGTATCCATATGGTAGCTGTGGTGTCTCACACCTGTAATCCCAACACTTTGGGAGACTGGGGTGGGAGGATCACTTGATGCCAGGAATTCGAGATCAGCCTGGGCAAACAGTGAGACCCCCATCTCTACAAAAAAAATAGCCAGACATGGTGGCATGTGCCTGTAGTCCCAGCTACTTGAGAGACTGAGGCAGGAGGATTGCTTGAGCCCAGGAGTTCGAGGCTGCAGTGAGCTACGGTTGTGCCACTCTACTCCAGCCTGGGAGACAGAGTGAGATCCTGTCTCTAAAAATTTTAAAAAGGTACCAGTAATCATTTCACTCTTTAAAATTAACATCTGGACCAGTGGTCCCCAAGCTTTTTGGCATTAGGAACCCATTTCATGGAAGACAATTTTTCTATAGACTGAAGACAGGGTGAGGGATCATCAGACATTAGATTCTCTTCAGGAATGAGGAACCCACATCCCTCGCATGTGCAGTTCACAATAGGGTCTGCGCTCCTGTGAGAATCTAATGCCAGGACTGATCTGACAGAAGGCAGAGCTCTGCTTGCTCACTGCTCAGCTCCTGCTGTGCCACCGGGTTCCTAATAGGCCACGGACGGGTACCAGTCCACAGCCTGATCTAGACTATATCCCCTTAAGGAAAGAGATGATTTTGCAGATCTGCTTAAATCTAATGATCACTCGCTGGATGTTAAAATGCTGATACAGAGCCTAGTACGTGGCTGAAAGAATGAATGTTCTAGAGAACCCAGCCACTAGGTGCCACTGTTTTGCCACCCCAGAGTCGACTGCAGGTTGCATGGGTTCTGAGTGCCGCAGAATCACATTTCAAATCAGTAAACTTCCTGCCAAGAAGC